CCCCCCCCAATTTCCACCACCTCCCAACACAGGCCCACAGCATAGACAGGGATGAGGGCTGCCCCAGACCCCAGGACTTCAGCTTTGGAAGATTACCCACAGTAACTCAGTGACAACTGTTCCCTGGCAGCGCCAAGGAAGAACTTCCTACTTCAAGTTAGGCTGACGCAGATACTTCAGGGCACCGTGCTTGTACTGAATGGTGTCTAGCCTCCCTCTCCTCTAAGAGGCTTGAAAGATCACAGAACAATAATTCTTAACTTTTTGGGGATGGTGTCACAGGTTATTAACCCTCTTCATAAAAATTCACACACACACACACACAATTCACATGTGATGTCAGTGACTGCAGAGATCCCAGGTTAAGAGACCTGCCTATAAGGCCTCCCTCAGACATGGCTCACAGTGGCAGTGGCAGAAAAATCACCTGGTTGATGGGTTTGTTGACAAAAGCCCCCACTTTTCGGGCAAAGATGGTCTCCAAGACATCGTGGGGAGAGGCCCGTCCCTCACTGCTGTTTGATACAGTTTCAGTATCCTCACTGGAGAAGAAAGGTAACATTGGTACTCGTTCTCAAACCACAGCAGAGCCTCCTTGGTTTCCCATGAAGCTACCCTCTGTGGGCTGCAGCCTACGGCAGGAGTTGCCCCACCACCCACTCAGTGGGAAAGGGCAATATGTGGTCTGGCTGCTGCTGCTCCCCCCCTCCCCTCTGAGTTGAGAGCAGAGGGCTACATTTCCTGGAACAACTAAAAACTATGCACATGTGAATGAAATTCAGTGTTACAATCGTGTAAAGCTTATATGAAATACCAATAAGCTTCCACTACCGTGCATATACCAATCATACATATAGGCAAGCAGCTCCCATAAACTGTAATTTAAATATTAATTACAGAAACAGATTCAAGATTTTAGCTGTTCTCTAGCTCCTTATTTTTGTTTTGCATGGTTATTTAAAAGCTCAGGCGGTATAGTTTACAGTAGTGTTAAATTTAAGTCTTACCTCACATGGAACATTATTCCAAGTCGAGTCTCAAATTTGTCTAGATAGCCAGAGCTTTCTCCGCCCATGACAAATTGCCTGGGCTGAGGTCCTCTGTGCTCTGTATCACATTTCCTGCTCTCTCCTCACCCTCAATCATCCCTCCGTTCAACGATACAATATGGCTGTTCCCACTGACCCCTCCAGTCTGATGCAGAGTCCTGGATGACAGGAGGGCGTTCCAAACAGCAGAAACAGGGTCCCATATTGTGGCTGCCAGACCAGTAGTCACAGCCCTGTGAACAGCAGGGGATAGGAAAGCTCCTCTGCCAAAAGCAGGGGCTCAAGGTGGGGAGGAAGGCTGTGAACTCCAAGTAGCCTCTGGACTCCCGCCAGCAGGGAGGAGCAGCACTGAGGAAAGGCCTGAGCTCTGAGCACCTGCAGTTAAGGACCTCCTGCACAGGGTCCTCGGTCTTTACTCCCAGACATGCCCCAGGAGTAAAGGCTCAGAAAATAAGAGTGTAAAATGACAAACAGGCTCTTCTTTTGATTAACAGAGGGAGGGATAAGAAGATGAAAGTTTGGGAAGTCAGGAATGAACGTAATTATTTTTCCTGATGGATGGTGTGAAAATTTGACCTTCCCAAACAATTCCCTTCCCATCACTCCACCGTGGGAATGAAGAAAAAAAACCACCCAGAAATTTCTATTATCCAAAAGTTCATTTAGGATGTGGCAGGCAATCAACGTCATTACCTCTGGGGACTTCCAGGCAAGGGAGGGCAGGTCAGATCAAGACAGCCTCAGCTTCCCTCGGGAGAATTCCGAGTGTAATGGAAAGAGTGAGCATGCACTTGAAGTCAGGAGTGAGGCTTGTGCCCAGCCATTTTGCAAGCTAACTGCTCTTAGGCAAAGTACTTAATCCTTCTGAGATCCTTCCATCTGTTTATTTGTTTGTTTATTTATTTATAATATGTCTTTATTGATTTCAGAGAGAGAAAGGGAGAGGGAGAGATAGAAACACTAATGATGAGAGAGTCATTGATCGGCTGCCTCCTGCACGCCTCCTACTGGGGATCAAACCCGTAACCCGGGCGTGTGCCCTGACAGGGAATCGAACTGGATCCTAGGTTGATGCTCAACCACTGAGCCACACCAGACAGGCCATCTTTTAAAAGGAGGTAACAGTGGTGATCTTTGTGGGGTGCAGTTATGAGAACTTTCATTTTCTACCTAATCAATGTCTTTATAATTTAAATTTCACAGAGTGTATCACTTCTACAACCAAAACAGACAAATTAAAAAAAATTTTTAATGAGAAAAAATACTTGTTTCTAAAGGATCTCCATGAGGCACTAGCATAGCAGAAAAAGAAAATCAATCCTAACTACCACCACAGATATACCGTGGCTCAAGACTTCATGGTAAACACTCGGTTCTGGTCCTCAGGAAACAATGAAGACCAACTCCAAGGGAATAAATCTCAGGGTAAAAGAAAAACCCCTTCACTGGATGAAGGTGGTAAGAGCCAAGCCCCTGCTGTGCGCTGTTAGTAGTGAAGCTGGGGCCAGCGTCTTTACATACCAGCTGCAATGAGATTTTTATTGGGAACTTAAAGGAATGCACATTTGGGGCGCAAATGGGGAAGCCTGAGTCAATGCTGAAAAGCCCCTCTTTACTAACACCAAACAAGCACGTGTCAGGGAGGACAGGCCCCTGGCTGGCCTGAGCAGCGGCAGAGCCAAAACATGAACTTACCTGCTAGAAGGTGTGGCAGCACAGTGGGCCCCATCAGAAGGGGTGTAGGTTGCCAGTCTCTCCTGATCAGCCTGGGCACCGTGGACAGGCTGGTTGGGGACAAGGGGTACCCCACCTTCCTTCCCAGGAACCATTAGCTTTAGGGAAAAAGGAAAAATACAGTGAATGGTGACAGCCTCAGGCAGATGACACTCAAGGCCTAGCAGGATGCTATCTGCTTTCAAGATTGTTCATCACCACTGCTGCCATCTAGCGAGCAGGAAACCTTGGCTCTTATCCTCTCTGGGACTCAGTTACTGGGAGACATGCATGGCAATTACAGAAGGAAAAGGAAAGAGGGAGAAACAATGGGAGCTCTTCTTTCCTTTCTGAAGTTTAAGAGGCCCTTCCTCTCAAAGCCCTGCTAGTTCTCCAAACTCAGAGAGAAGCTTTGCTTCCAAACACTCAGAATGCAATTGGTATCACAAGAGGCCCCTCAGGGCAGGAAGGCAGCACAGGAACCCCCAGGGTTCACCCCATCTTTAAAGATACCTGGTGAGGATGTGTGGTGTGTAAGCCAGCAGCACACACTACTGGGTAAGCCAGGTCAGCTGATCCAACGCCCAGGGCAGCAGGCTGATAGGAAAGGCGAGAGCTTGAGAGCTAAGCAAGAGAAAAACAAGGGGGCAGAGGAAAGGGGGGAGAGCACAGGTAGTCCTGGAGCACAGCTAATGATCAAGATCAACAGAGAGGTAAGGAGTGGACCCAGCCCACATCCTCACAGCGCCAGGTGCCTGTCTAAGGGTTAAAGACAAGACAGGCTAGGCCATTTCTTTTTAAATGAAGAAACTGTTTGTGGGGCGGAGATTCCCAGCTCTGTGGCCTTACGAAGGCCTCAAGTGATTCCCTTGCTCCCCCTTTTCTCAGCTAACTGCTCTGTGTCCAGCTCAAGCTGGGGCAGGTCTTGGAGCCAAAGTCATCAGTTTTCCCCAGGTCATTCTATTTTCTCCTTTGTCCTTGAGGTCTCTTTGGAACTGAAGGCGTCTTCTCTAATCACACCCTCCCTCACCACTGGGTATGGAAGGGCTCCTAATTATGTTGAGAAAGAAAGAATACCACTCTTGGATTGTTTATCTGGAAATAAGATATAAATAACTCCATGTATTTTTCACATAAATGGGGGGGGCAACTGAAAAATCCTATTTTGGGCTGCTCTATTATGGTTGTCCTGTTAGAAGTCAATTACTAAGTCTCAAAATAACCCACAGAACACTTGGGGACATTTAAATAGCTATACCCTCTATTTTATTTACAATTTTTAAATAAAAAGATGCCATCTAATTTATCCCCTTCTTCCCATTAGACTCACTTGATGGGAAAAGGCCAGTCCTGCCATGGGGACCCTCAGGGTATCCGTCACCACAGGAGTAGGGGTCTGAAAATGTGCCTTTGTAACAGTAAACACACACTGTGCACAGATACAAACAGAGACAGGAGAAACAAGAGAAGAAAAAAGAAAAGGGACTTGAGAAAGAAGTGAAAAAACTCCGAAGGGGCAGGAGCAACAGAGGCTGAAATGCACAATGGAAGTCAGGCATGAAGCGGGGAGAAAGCTGCAAGACAGCCTTCCCAAAAGGATGGCTTCAAGGGTCTGCAGAGACGTTTATTCCAGGACACTCTGTGCATGCGCGTCTCCCTGATGAGCAGGTGGAGTCAAGCTGGAATAGTTTGGCAAAAAGAGAAACCTGAACCAAGTATTAGCCCATCTTTAGTCAAGAGGATGGGAGGACATTAGAGAATGGTCTCCAATAGGAAGGGCCCGAGAGCAGCCACAAGGTGTACTCAGGATGAATGAAGAAACTGAGATTAAAATGTTAAAATGCCTTTTTTGAGGGGACCCAGAATCCTCAGGGGCAGGTTTAAAAACTTGACATTCGTTGGCTGGAACTTTAAAGTACCCAGCTGCACTTTCCTACATCATCCCAGGGAAGATGAGTGGGTAAGTACAGATGTAGACATAGGGCCCTGTGTGTGTGTGTGTGTGTGTGTGATCTGAGAACTTGATGGAGCAAAAGCTGGGACACTTTCAAAACTCTTATGATTTCAAGTTTTAATTATGGGCGTGATGATTATTTTGGGTCTTGCTGTTCCATCTTTAATAAGTAAAATGCTTAAAATTGAAAGTAGGACCTTGCCCGGCCAGGTGTGGCTCAGCAGTTGAACATCGACCTAGGATCCAGGAGATTGAGGTTCGATTCCCCTTCAGGGCACATGCTCAGGTTGCGGGCTCGATCCCCAGTAGGGGTCGTGCAGGAGGCAGCTGATAATGATAGCTCTCTCATCATTGATGTTTCTATCTCTCTCTCTCCCTCTCCCTTCCTCTCTCTGAAATCAATAAAGACATATTTTAAAAAAAGAAAATAGGACCTTAAGTCACAGTAACAGGTTCAGGGTTACAACTATTAACTATTTCTTGACACAAATGAAACATGATCCCTCCTTTGTTGGCAAAACAAACATTAATATGTGTTCACTGGACTCTAGCAAAAGCTCAAATAGAAGTTGTTGAACAATTATGCAATTCCCTAAGTTAAACCAAGGAAGAAACTATTTCAGTATTTACAGGAATGAGGTGACCTGATGGCAAACAATTTTCTCTCTCTGTTCAAAATCAGTATTTCTGCACCAAACTGTACCAACCTTGATACAGTATTGATAAGATCTTGATGTGATTTACTTTTAAACTGTGACAAGACACAACAGGAAACTGATACCATGAGAACAGATAGGCTCTCCTTACACAGGTCAACAACCTTTTACGCAAGCATTCCATGCAGATACTACTTAACTTCCCTTTACCTTTGGAGTTGGGTGAAATTTCCACTATATCAGACAGAGACAAACTGATTTATTAAAGCCAAGCTTTATCATCCCTCATGTCCTCAAATCACAACTTTATTTATTGTTTATAAATTTATCACTTATAAAACAAAACTTTAATGAACATTAAACTTGACATATTCACATTTTATTATCTAAAAAATAATCTATTCCCATTAACGTGTACTCTTAAGAATGTGGGCTCCCCCTCATTTTGCTCAGTATTGTGCTATGTCAGTAAGCGTACCAGAAGCTACCCGCTCCCAGAACAATGGCGACACTCATGCCTACGCATGTTAATGTGGAGAAGGGAATAATAATCCCCACCCCCCAAACCAAGCTGTCTAGGCAACTTTACAACAAGACCCTCTTTAACTCTAAATTGGGACAATAGAAATAATAGTGATCTGTGGATTCTGTAACACCTTTCACACACATTGTGCCTAACTTCTGTGTCTGAAACAGAATAGAACCATAATTTTAATCCAGCATCGCCTAACAACCCACGATGGAATAAATTTAATTTTTTTCTTAATTTAAAAACACTGAAAATAAAAACTTATGAATAGCTAATTAATTTGCTGGGTTCCCAAAATAAGATGGTGAGAAGGGATTATCTGGGCCTGGTTTAAAGGAAAGTAGGAATGAATTGGTCTAGGAGAAACTGTCTAATGTGAAAATCAAAGAGGAGGGAATAGTGATGGTGGGCAGGTAGAGCAGGGATTTGCAGGCAATGAAGGAGGCCGAAAATGAAAGACTTGGGATGGAAGGGACAAAATGTGCCCTGAAATTCATCCAGTTGGCAAAAATGATTCCTTAGCGGAAGCAGTCTCAGTACCATGTACATTGTACAACAAGGCCACTACAGGCACTTCCTCTTGGGAATCTGAGAACCCTGTCTGGAGCCTGTGTTTTATTGAAATTCGGTTTGACACTGAAGATGGACTCAAGTGGAAAAGTTAATGGTTAAAAATGTTCAGACGGAGAATGCAGATAGGCAGAAATCTCTGTGTCAACTAGTAAGAAAAATGGCCCTGCTGGTTTCTTACTAGCAAAATGCTAAAATACGCTAAATAATTATTGGCTCCTTTTGTGCTTCTTCCATTATTGGGGGCCATATTTACCACTTCAAATGAGAAGTAGCTATCAAATTAACAAGTGTAGGTTAGAGTATCTCTCTGGTATGAGAATGCATATGGAATTCTGTGAGTGATTTTTCTAGGGAATTTTTAGATGTTCCCAGGAAGGTAAAGGTTACATGTTGTGGGTTAAGAATGGTTACTGCAATATTACCTGCTGGATAAGAAGGCTCTTCCTCATCACTCAAAAGAACCCCCTCGAAACAATTACTACCACCACCAAAAGAAACTACCTAAATTTTGACATCATTTCATAACGTGCCAAATTACTACCACCACCCCAAAACCCGTTTCCCCTACCTGGGATGGAGGGGAGGTGGAGAAAGAGGTGGTACACACTTCTTGAGAATCTTCCACAGAAGGATATGTTACTCCAGTGTCCTCACCAGTGGTTCTGTAGTGAAGGGAAAGGAAATCATGAATTTTACGGTGATGGCAGTCAATTTTAGAAAGGCCACAAAGGGATGCAAGTTATGACAACAGTTGTTTTAGGCAGAGTTCATGAGTTCAGCAAGAGAGCTGTGCTGAGTCCTTCATAATTTCAAACATTTCCAGAGAGCAGCATCTAGAGGTTGACAATGGCTTTTTTTTTTACCCAAACATCTTACCTGACCTATCATTTGAGAGTATTTGCTTAAGTCTGGACAATGATGGGGCCAAAGAACTATCAGCAACAGATTGCAGTAAAACAAAAGTCTAGACTCCAAAGACAATCATATCCAATTTTAGAAGTCCTTCACATAAAGGCAGTATCCTTCCTGACACGTATCGATTCCAACCTCTAGAGAATTCTAGAATCTGTTTTCTGGGAACTAGGCCTGAAGATATTTGATTCTCAAGTGTAACTGAATTGTGCCAATGATAACCTGCAAACCATTTGATTTGCAATGGACATTCCACAGATTACTGCCACTCTTGTCTCTAAGTCAAATCACTACTGTCAAGATTCACCACGTCCAAGAATTTTCTGAGACATTCTGTATACCCCAGGTCTGGGTGTACCTTACAGGCAGCAGCAAAAAAGGAAGCTAGCCATTCCATTTCTCTTCTTGTGGGGTCTCCATCAGTGCCCCATGCCCATTGGTGAGTGCTGATAAAGGTGCCCTATGTACCTGTGAGATAGATGGATGCTTCTGCTAGCTGCAGTTTGGGAAAGTGCCTTTCACATTCCTCACCTGTAATTGCAGGGGTGCATGGGCGAGGAGCTGGGATAGGGACGGTCCACAAAGTGATCAATGATAATCCCCATGATAGGTGGGGTCCTCTCAAATTGCCTGCAACGCAATAAGCAGATTGCAGTACTTGTTAGAATGCCTTGCCAGCCTCCCTGAAGATCTATTAGCAGGAACCATCAGACCCTTAACTATCGCATCCCAAAATATAAACCACCATCTCCATTGTTGGCTCTGGAACACTCAGATTCTCCAATGAAACTGGGCTCTCTCTTTATTTTATTCTTCAGAAAGGGACTGATTTCAGCAATGGCAAAGCTGAACTGCAGACTTAGCTGTTGAGTTTGGGTGAAAAAACTTTAGTATCTTTGAGCTTTTTGGATTCCATTGCTCTTTCCTCACCTGGTAGACATGAATGCCAAGTTAATCCTATAAGCACAAGAAAGAGTGATGGTGCCCACAGGGGTGCCCACTGTCCCAACACGAACTGTCTGGAAACCTAGGAGAAGAGATAAATAATTAGCTTTTTTCCCCCAGAGAATACTGACACTGCCCCATCTGTCTTTCCTTGCATTATTTAGCTATACACTCTCTGGCATTATTGATGTATCACCTTGAGTGCCTCAATTTCATGTGTGTACCTGTATGTGTTGTTTTTTTCTTTCAATTAATTCTATATTGACCTAATATTAGCAAGGAAAATAGCACTGTGTTTCCAGATAAAACTACCTTCAAAAAGGTAAAACAACTGTTAATCCTATAGCTCGAGCAAGTCCTAACCAACCCTGCCTGGACTGTCACATGCCCAATGAGACAGCAAAGGGACACTAAGAGTTTGTCACAAAAACACCTCAAATTTATGAAGTAACTGCACTCTCACTCAAGCTGCCACCCCAGAACTAAGTACGAAAAAGAGCCAGGGCCTTGCAGGTGACTCTCCCAACCAAGCTTTCCTGGATTTCTTGGTTTCACTTCCAATTTTTCAAAATTGATGCTCATCAGAAACATCTAACATGTTCATTCTAGAAAATTAGGAAATAGACAATTGTATAAAGAGTAAGAAAGAATACCAAGTTATTGGAACTTTGGGGAAATTAGCCACTCCCTAGTGGCTCTGGGACCACCTACCTGTCTTTTCCTTCCTTGTATCATACATATGAAAATCACAAGCTGCATATTATTATGCACCCAAGCCCATCTCTGGTCAGGAGAGCTCTTAACACTACAAATGTTTTTCAACCTTGATACATACCTTCTCCTAAGCCATTCAGCTGAACTTCCCCAAAATATATCCTGCAGGGAAGAAAAAAAAGATGTTACCTGATTCTTTATTCTAATGGCCTCTATAGAAAAAACACCTAGAAACAAAATAAACAAAACAAATCTTTCTTTTCTTATTACATGAACACCTCTCTTAATGGAGCAATAATGCTACTACTTCAATTAGGCCGCCAGCAAGAGGGCGTATATGGAGAAGATAGATAAAAAAAATTAGGAAAATAATAATTAAGTGGAAACTGCTATATAAGTTTCTTATTCCCTCTCCCGCCTGGAAAAATAAACACAGGGAGGGTTGCTATATTATTGCTAAAAAAAGTTAAAGAATGACTTAATAACTATTCTCAAGTACTAGACTGTTACAACAGAACTAGTTAAGTCTAATCATTAGTCTTTCCATCCTGCTATCCTAATTCTTCTTGAAATCGGCTCTATACATGTAAGACAAAGGCTTAAAACCGATGGTTGGTCACTAATATGAAAGAAAAGTCTTGGCCGATTTGGGGCTCCTGGATCTCATGCTCTGCTCTCTTTCCTATGTATCCTCCACGCCACCACTTTGGTCCATCAGACAAACTAAGTACAGTTCATACCTCGCCCCTACTTCTGTGCCTTGCCATCTGCTGTACTCCTCACCTGGAACAATCTTCCTCCCTCGCTTCTACCTGCTGAAATTCTCTCTGCCTCAAGGTCTAGCTTGAAGGCCACTTCCTCCATGAAGCCTGTCTTGTATCTCCCACTCAGAACAAATTTTCCCTTTCTGTGTTCTCCCAGCACTTTTTTCCTGATACTGCTACGCAGCTTTCAAATCCTGCTTTTTATTAAATTATGCATGTACCAAACTATTTCCCCCATTAGATTAAAAATACCTGTAGGGCAGGGCCTCTGTATAGTTCTTCCTTAGGCCTAGGACAATGCTTACATTAAAAAGGTACTTAATACTTGTTGAGGTGAAATATTCCAAGAAAAATACTCAAAGAACTGTTGACCAGTTCTCCATATCCACAAACAACTAATTAAAAAACAAATTGAATTAGCAATTTGTTAAACAAGAAATTTTAGTTTAACTCTGGAATACAGAGGGCAGGAATCTGCTCAGGATAGTCTGTTTTTTAAATTTTTAAGCTCCTTTTCCTGGTCCAAGGTCCTGTCAGTAGGACCTCAAAATCCAATCCACAGGAATCACGACTGTGCACAAACCAAAGGACAAAGAACCTGGCCGATATGGCTCAGTGGCTGAGCATCGACCCATGAGCCAGGCTGGATTCCTGATCAGGGTGCGTGCCCGGGCTGTGGGCTAGATCTCCAGTCGGGGGCGTGCAGGAGGCAGCTGGTCAGTGACTGTCTCTCATCATTGATGTCTCTATTTCTCTCTCCCTCTCCCTTCCTCTCTCTGAAATCAATAAAAACAGATTGAAAAAAAAAAAAAGAAAAGGACAAACACCTTGGTAGCCTTGGAAAGCGGAGCTCATAAGGGAAGACAGACAGACAATCACAGTGAAGCTACAGCATCAACTATCCAACCAATCACCTGTCCAAAAACTAACCATGGGATACCTACATAATATCTGAGTGCCAGTCAGACAGCGCGCAGGGATGAGGCTGACAAGTGAATCAAGAAGCTGAGCAGCCACGCTGTTTACCTGTACAATATGACATATTCATGCCCTTGCTTCCTGGAGAGTCTGTAAGCTGGCGTCACCCTAGTTATAGCCAGGAGAGACTTCAGCAGTAACGACAGTCTGTTGTACACAGTGTAGGAAACTTTGATTTCTTTATCACACCTGTGGAGCACACAGACACTATCAGCATCCTCCTATTCAAGCAACATGAGACAAAGAGCAGAAAAGCAGTGGCTATAGAGATAATAGTTATGTTCCATCTATTGACTGAGCTTAACTTGTTAGCATTATTCATAAATTCTGATAGAACACAAACTGCTTTGCAGTCCAAATACATGGTTCAGAGTATGACAGCTAACAGACGTGGTTGCAAATTAAGCACTGGAACTGTATAAAATTAAATTTATTATTAAAACATGCTCTGAACTAAAGGTGTAATTAGAGTTCTTTGTCAGTTTATTAACAGATTGCTACGAAAAGCGAACAAACAAAAGTTTCACTTTCTCATGCACTGGACACAGGGAGATGGGCACAAAAAGGCACCGAATATATTTTTTATAGCTTTGAAGCAGTTATCTTTCTAAGAAATAAAGCAACACAATTAAAAACAGCAATTCAATGTTGCAATTATATTAATGAAGGTGTAAACACAATTTCAATGTCTCATCTGATGAGCTGTTTACCTCTATACATGTGTTTGGTACTAAAATTTTGGACTATAACCTGGCAATTGCTTTCTAAACTTAAAAAATGCCTATACCACATATATTTATTACTAAAGTTTTTCTTTTGAGGTGTTGCTATTTCTTCAATTTTTCTATATGTGTAATCTTCTTGAAAACGGAAACTTCAGGCAGGAAGTAAGCTAATCTGCCTTGAAAGAAGAAAATGGAGGAGGGAAATAACATGCATTTCCAATCTATGACCAATACTGCATAAAAAGGAGTAGGGAGGGGAAATCTTATTGGATGTCTGCCACACAAAAAACAGACAAAATAGAGTAGTCATGTTACAAGAGCTCCCCAGGGATTTAATCAGAGAACTATCTGTACTCTGGGAAAACAAGAAACCCTTTCAGCTTTCTCTCTGCTCCTTTCCCTGTGATTTCTGAGTCTCTCTGGACTGATGCTCCCTCTGAAGGTCATCTCTGTGCCAGGGCTGGAAGCCAAGCATGAAGCATTGTAGCAAAGACCTATTGGTTTTGTTAAGTGAGCAGAACACCCTCCATGACTGATAACAAAGCACTGTTTTTCACATGATGTCATCTGCTTTATCCTCAGTTACCACAACCAAGGAACCTAAGATAGAGAACTTACTTTTCATTCATTTCAAGACACCAAATTTCTAGTTCCATGGAATCTCCCTATAGATGGGACAAATGAAAGACATTTCAATTTTATTTTATTTTTAAAATTTTCTTTTTTCTTATTACAGAGCTCTATATAGTCACTATAAAATATATTATAAATTATAAATAAGCAAAATAAAGATAATATATAATCCAATCAGCCACATTTCTAAATAAAGGTGAGATCATACCATATACATTATTTTAATCACCTAGTTTTTAATAAATACATAGAATTTTCCTTATAGCTAACAATCCTGCATTATTTTTAACAGCTGCACAGTATTCCAAAATATGACCGCCACTTTATCCAATCAGTCTCCCGTCCTTGGACATAAAGGCTGTTTCTAATTTTTCACTACCACGAACAGCATTTTGATAAACAGCGTGGAGACTACAATTTTGCACGTACCCGGAATTAATTTCTTAAGGCAAATTTCCAGAAGTAGAATTGTTAGATCAAAGAGTATTTCTGCTTTGAAGACTTTTGCTATGTATCTCCAAACTGCTTTCCAGTAAGGCCAACGCTTCCAATGATGGAGAGAGCCCTTCCCTCCAATTCTATAGGGGGTATTTTTAGGTGACACCCACAATTAAAGAATACCTTAACAAGCTCCTTACTTAAATCTTTTTAGCTGTCTGATGTCTTCAACCAAACTGTTCAGTCTCTCTTTGTGTTACTCTGAACAGACCATCTTAGTGAGTAGGTAAGAAAAAGAAAAGACTAAAGCTAGAATCCCTCAACCCTGTAACACTCCTGTTTATTAGTGAGAAGGATATTCACATGCTTCTGAACACAAGTAACCTTTTTATTAATCCGTTGGAAAAGGGCATTTCTTTAGGTTTGAGAGTAAGCTTGGGTTAGTTTGTGGAATACAGAATGTATTTGTTCTAGATCAAATTTAAATATGTATCCTTAATATATATCCTTTTCATTATACTGTTGTTTCTAAATGACACAATGAATTTGAATTTTCCCCCTACCTCCCAAAAAACCAGAGGATGATGGGATAATAAGTACTTAAGACAAGTTGGTGTGGTTTCTCTAGGGCAATCAGAATAGTTTATAGTCAGATTTCATAGATGCCTGGGAAAGGAAAGAGTTCTTCTAGGGATTCCTTTTGGACTCCCTATGAATCACTAGAATATATACATACATACATACACACACACACACACATATATATATATAAAGAGAGAGAGAGTATGAACTGGCAATTCAATGAAGAATAGAAAGTTTTGTTTTATTTGGTTCTAAGGTTTCCATGAAATAAGCATTGACAATATTCATTCAACAAAATTCATTGAGTGCTTACTATATGCCATCCCAGGCACTGTGTTTAGGCACAGAGATGATTATTTATTTATAGCCTGCCTCATTTCAAAAAGAATTTGAAGAACTTCAAAGATAAATAAGAGGTAGCATAGCTGCTAACATCCAGAATAAGTGTAAAGTATGAATAGAAACATGTAGTAATTGCCTACTATGTTATGTTAGTCACTTTACAAATAAGGATTAAATGAAAAAATATTGTAGCCCTGCAAGGCTATGAAGTGTCATGTTAGTTTGGTGGTGTTGGTGGGGATGGGGTTAAGTAATTTGGCCAAAGTCACTCGATTGGGATCTGAACGTGGGTCTGTGTAGCTCCAAACTCCATCCCCCTTTCGTTATACCATGCAGCCTCACAATCCTGTAGTGGAAGTAGGTTAATAAACACACAAGTAGCAATATCTGCCTCAAACTTAACATGGAATAAGGTAAGAAAAAAAAATTTTTTTAAAGTCACAATATAGCAAGTCCTACTCCAGAAACGAATACAAAGTACATGGAAGTCTAGAGAGAGTAGTTACCTCTCCCTCTAGAGGGGAAGATTTTCTAGAGCATGTGAGTCTTGAGGATAAGTAGAAACATGTCATACATAGGTGATATATACAAAAATGAGGTGACGAGCCTATTCCGGGTGGTTGGAAGAAAAAGTACAAAAACCATGACCTCCTCAGAGAATGATGAGAAGCTCAGAGAGGGATGGGGCAGAAATAGGGCTAGTTGGAACCAGAGCGTGGAGAACTGTGAGTGCCAAGTTAATACACCATCCTGGCCATAATCTTACCTCAGAAGTCTTGAGTGAGATCTCCACACACATAGATCTCCCGACGGCAGGCAGCTGTCCTGCCAGTGCCTTCTTTGCTTCATGTGTAACCTCTGGGATGTCTTTGATTGCTAAGTTGAACTGGAAAACAAAAGGGACTTTTCACCCACTGTAAGCATTATGGAAACATAAAGTAGTCAGACTGTCTGCTGGGTAATGCAGGCATTGCTTTGATTGATTAAGGACATTCATTCATTTCTTCCTTCCCCATAACAGGTATCTTGCATCAAAGCCCCAAAGCTCAGGCTGAAACTGCTAATGACCTAGGACAAAAATTAGTAACAAGATATTTTTGTTTTCTAATGACTAAGCTTTTCAGCTAAAACAGCAGAAAGCCAAGAACCAAATAAACCCAGGACTAAAGTTCAAAGAAGAACGTACTTTCCAAGTGAATGGGTCAAATGGAATTGGATCTTTTAACGTTATGATTTAGTAACACTATAAACAGTATCCCTTATTACTGCACTCTGATTCCTTGTAACAGACACCGCAGTATACCCCTCAGCAAAGAACAGGAATTTTACCCAATCTGAACCCGTTGGGGATGAAGATGAACGAGTACAAATCTTCTCGCCAAGCCGAGCCTGGACAATCACTTGAACAGTCTAAAAAAAAAAAACAAATACCAAAAAAATCAAAGATTAAAAATCTTAAATTGACTTGGTTCCTGATCAGGGTTAAAACCCTTCCAAAGCAGGGTTTAAAAGATGTCAATAATTATAACTACACTTTAGGAACTCAAAACATTCAAGAACAGATAGAAAAAATACTGTACAAAAAGAATACTGTAAATATTCCTGAGGACACAGTGTCAACCAATTAGAATTAGGAATTACAGTTTGAGGCTTGGAATCTGTAATGTTCTCATATGGCAGAAGGAAAGTTGCACATGGTGGCTCTGACTTTCATAAAGAAACAAATCCAACAGTAGGTGTAAATATTCATTGCCATACACTTATGTAATGATAGTAGATTTAAATCAAGGACTCCACAATTATTCATATCTTTTGGCCCATATGGCAAAAGTCTTCCAACTAATTTTACAACCAGAATCTACTGCATGAATTGTTCTTACATGGCAATGTTTGAGAGGAAGGAGTGAAAGATGTGGAAATAATTTTTAGATTTAGGAAAATTTAATTTCTAAAGCATTCAAAATTCAGTTTTAATTCCTCATTTACCCAGAATGGAACAATAAATGTAAGTTAGACATTTCAGAGTTACGTGATGCTTAGGGAAAGATGCCCAAAATGCTATCCAATCCAGTCCACAGCCTTTGTTCCACCCCAAGGGAACATACTGTGCCAATAACCTGGCATAATAGTTTGACATTTCTGCAAACAGCCTTGCAAAAAATTTTTTCAACAAGTAACTGTGGAAAATTGGAAGCTACTTTTTAGTTACACCCCCAGTACCACCCCCAAACTTCACAGTTTGGTTTACAACAGACAGAGTATCCATTAGAATGGGCAAGTTGCAAGCTGTTATGCTATATTTCCAAAAAGGGAGAAGCACAGAAGTTATTTCCAACAGGTCTAGGCTCAAGAGAATGGGTATGTTACCTTGAGGGCAAAAAATTTAATGAACTTGTCCAGGTCCTTTCTGTCCTGGGAACTGAGATCAGTTTCCATTGCCTATGGGAATCTAAAACCAAAAAAAAATGTTGAAAAATGTGACTAATATCTTTTAAAAGGGATTGCTATATCAAAGCATACAGAGATGGTATTGTCTATGAGCTGTATGAATAGGCATGTGGGAAGGGAAAAAAATTCCCCTCTAACTAAAGATACCAAGGTGAAAAAATATTAAGATACTATCTTTTGAGGAAAATAAATTCTATACAAAAGAACTAAACCTAGGAACCTAAAAATGTTCCATTTTATATGAATCTGAATCTTTGAGCTTTAGATAGAACTTATGTATTAAAAATATTTTTATTACCCAGAATATTGAGAACTAAGTTTTACTCGGACAAAAACTTTGTTCAAACATAAAATGAGTTCATTTACATTCCTTCAAAAGGCAACTAAACCAATTTAACTTTGGGGAGGTTTAGGGACTTTTTTGAGAATCTGAAGGCAAGACAAGCCCTTTCTCCAGAAAAATGCACATGTGTGGAAATGTTTGGATATAACTGCAGGGATTTGTAGATTTCCTGAAGCATATCATAATACCCCCAGTTTGAAAGTTTGAAATGGGGTTTGCAAGAGGAAGAAAGCGTTCAGGGAGAGAAGAGCATGAACAAAGAGGTATAAGCAACAGAGAGCAAAAAGGCTTTGGAACTATTAAGTATTTCAGTTTTTCAGAGGATTGCATATGGATGGGAAAGTAGTGTGGTTGGTTGGGGCCAGACCATAAGTGTCTTAAATGCAATGCTAGAGCCTGATCTGCACCTTGTAGGCCAGAAATGGCAGCCACCTCAAGGCTTTTGAGGAGAGGAAGTAACAAAGTACTGGTATCATCTGAATGGTGCTTTAGAAAGACAGCTTTGCTGACATGTTGTATAATAGCTTTGAGTATGAAAAGCAGGGAAACCAATTAGGTTCTTGGCAATAATTCAGACTTGTGGGCAAGGCTAACACTCTAGTTACAGACATGAATTGGAAATAGTATGGATGGGAGATATTTTACAGGAAGCGCTGAAAGGATTTAAGGACTGACTGCAAAAAGTTTAATAGGGTTTCAATTAACAAAAAACCAGGGAAGCCAGAGAGAGCTAGTTTTAAGGAAAGGTGTAAACAAAAGGAGTGAGTTGAAATAGGAAGTAATGAGTAAAAGTATATATATTTTAAAAAGCACTGTTCTTTATTGAGGTATAACTTACATGTAGTGAAATGCACAAATCTTGGGTAGACAGCTCAATAAATACTTTTATATGTATACACCCTTATAACCGCAATCCAGATCAAGTTATAGAACATTTCCAATGATGCTCCTTTGTGTCCCCTCAATCAATAAATCCACCAAAAGGTAACCATAACTCTGACCTCTATTGCCACAGGTTAGTTTTGTCTGTTTTGAATTTCTTATCAATGGAATCAAATAGTAATAATTCTTTTGTGTGTAGCTTCCTTTACTCAACATTATGTCTGTAAGGTTCATTTATACTACTACATGTAGAGGTTTTCCTGCATTTGCTTAATTGCCCTCAGCGCAAAGTAAGTTATTTCGGGGTGACATGTTCTGGTTTCCTTCATCCTCAAAAGGTGAAAGGCCACCAGTACTGCCCTGCTAATGACTTTTAAAAGGATGGCTTCCTAGAGTGAAGAACAGAGTCAGCTACTTCTGAGAAGTTAGAGAAGAAAGAGCTCAAGCCGGTGTGTTAAAAGGAGCTTCCCTGTAGGACAGGGATATCTGAGCAAATTTATGAGGAGGGAGAAGAAATCAATGAAGGAGAAATAAAACACCTGTGAGAAAAAATAATTATCAGAATAAGATGCCACAGGAGGGTCCACTGTGAGCAAGAACAGGTTAAAGCCATAAGTGGTCCAAATTATAAAGGATATATCTTTTGGGGCCTATCCTGTGTATGTTAGACAGCATTTGAAATGTATAACCACTTTAGACCTAATTTTGGTTAAGAATAACAAACGTTAAAGTAAAAAGAAAAAGACTTTTTAAAGGGTTAAACAGCTCAAGGCCCTCAAGCAGGCTGAACCAGATGAGATAAGAACAGCGCTGGAGGACTGTGCTGCCCTGAGCTTACACTGAAGTGGGGAATTGTGTTCCCACCACCAGACCATCTACCAATGCAAACATAATGGCACAATGACTCTTGGGACTTATTGTACCAATGAAAGCACTAAAAGGATTATGTAACTAGAATTAGTTATTGAGACAAAAGGGGTGAGGTGTCCACTGGGGAAAAAATTATCTCAGGCATCAGAGCTTGTTGTTCCCTTGAGCCTAATCTATCATTCTTTACTAAATAAGTGCAATAGAAGTGTGAAACATGACATAAATGGAGCCATTTTGAAATGGAGCTGGAGCAGCCATTCCAGAGGAACACTCTGCACTGTGTCTTATTCCTTAAACCTTTAGACTGGACTAAACCACAATTGTTTTTATTTAATTTTTTTTTTAAAAGATTTTTTAATTGATTTTGAGAGTACGGGGGGGCGGGAGATAGAGAGAGAGAGAGAGAGAGAAACATTGATCGAATAGCTTCCTCTTCCTGCAGGCCTCCCCCACCGGGGATTGAGCGTGCAACCCCAGCAAGTGTCCTGACGGGTAATCGAACCCATAATCTTTTGGTGTAAGGGACTACGCTCCAATCAACCGAGCCACCCAGCCAGGGCTGACTTTAAGCTAATTTTTAAAAAGTTTTTACTATGAAAAACAAATTTTTAAAAATATGTTTTTACTAATTTTTAGAAAGAGAGAAAGGGGGGGAGAGAGAAAGAGAGAGAGAGAAACATCAATAGGTTGCCTCCTGCATGCCCCCTACTGGGATGGAACCCAAAACCGGGGCATGTTCCCTGACTGGGAATCAAACTGGTGACCACTTAGTTCATGGTCAATGCTCAGCCACACCAGCTGGGCTATAAAGAAAAATTTTAAACATTGCTCAGCTTTAATAATGTGTGATAAGGTCTGTCCTTAGTCTCTGCCAGAAACACACGTGAGTTCTCCCTGGAAGAAAATAATGTTACACTAGCTCACAAATTATCTCTACAATTTTTCATATACAATATCTGTCACATATTAAAATAAACTAAACATTCACAGATACAAATCCAAATAACCAAAATCCAACAGATACAATAGACATTAGACATCAAAAACATATTAATAGTTATCATACAAAGACTTTAAGTTACTATGCTTAATATATTCAATTAAATAAAGCACAAAATTGAGAATTTAAAGAACTAGAAACTATAAAAGGAACCAAACAAATTCTAGAACTAAAAAACAAAAAATACTGCCTGGCTGACGTGGCTCAGTTTGTTGACCGTTGTCCTGTGCACCAAGAGGTTGCTAGTTTGATTCCTGGTCAGGGCACATGCTGGGGTTGCAGGCTCGATCCCTGGTGGGGGGCCTGCAGGAGGCAGCCAATTGATATATCTCTCATTGATGTTTCTCTCTCTCTCTCCCTCTCCCTTTCTTTCTCTCTAAAAAAATCAATAAAAACATATTTTTAAAAAACACTAAATGAAGAACTAAATGGTTGATTCTAATAGATTAGACCAACAGAAGATACAAATACTGAAAAGGAATATAGGTCAAAAGAAAATATATCCAGAATAAAGTACAGAGGCAAAAGGATGGAAAATAGGGACCAAGCATACAAGAGACACAAAGTAAGTATTACACACCTTTGGAATACTTTTGAGAGTGAAAGGGCAGTATTTACGGTATTTAATCATCTCATGGCAACAGGTACAAAATGAGGCATGAGGGTACCCAAGACACTGAGGACACAGGGAAAGGTCTCATGTGTAATTAGAGTCCCAGAGGGAGAGAAGAAAGAATAGGGGAGAAGCAAAATTAGAAAATATATAGCTGAGAATTTTCATGTAAAGAGGTAAAGAAAAATAAAGCAGATAAGCATGGTTTGGCCAGATTACTCTCTGGAGTCATGAAAGTGAGCAATAGAGGCTCTAATAGTACATTAGTAAGGAGTCAATGTAGATTCTCCCATAGATAAAGATTTAGGGAAATTAATCTGAATATAGAGAGGGAGAGATGAAGTAAAGGGACTAGAAGCAGAGAAACCAGTGAGAAAGCTATTTCAGTAATCCTACCATTATAATGTGGGATTAAGGTGACACATCAAAAAATGAAGGATAGGGCAAATAAATTCAAAGAAACAACTGAATAATTTGGCAAGAGGTTATATAATTTCTATGTTTTCCAATTTTTAACAGAGTTTTTTAATGTTTTCGACTCAGGCTTAAAAAAAAGCTCAATATTATAAATTCAGAACAGTTACTACAAGAAAAAAATAGTTAAGTACAAGTTCAAGTGCAAACTGGAAAAAAACAGTCATTTCCCTACTTTCAGGCATCAGAATTATTATTAAAATATAAAGATCCTGCCTTGCTGGGCGTGGTTCAGCGGTTGAGCATGGACCTAGGATCCAGGAGATGGAGGTTTGAGTCCTGGTCAGGGCAACTGATGGCTCAATCCCCAGCAGGGGGCGTGCAGGAGGCAGCCAATCAATGATGACTCTCTCATCATTGATATTTCTATTTCTCTCGCCCTCTCCCTTCCTCTTTCTGAAATCAATAAAGATACATTTTTTAAAAATGGTTTAAATATATATATATATATAAAGATCCTTTATTCCATTTAGAAAGTTCTTCATAGACAAACGAGAAGCAACACAGAAGTTTAAAAACTGAAATCTTCATACCTAAAAGAGTTACAAAAAAAAATTGAAAGTAAAGAAATAAGCAGATATACCTTAAAAAAAAGAAAAAAGAAAAAAAGAGGAAGAGGACAGGAACAGGAAAAAAAGAAAGCAGAAGTAGCAATATTTATAACGGAATTCCAGGCCAAAAGTGATGAAATGAGGTTAAAAGGGGTACTGAGTAATGATAATCTCTGAAAATGTAATAGCCATAAACCTTTTTTTTGTTAATCCTCACCCAAGGATAATTTTTCCATTGATTTTGAGAGACAGTGGAAAAAGGGTGGGAGGGACAGGGTGGGGGTTGGGGAGAAAGACAGAAAGAGACAGACACACAGGCAGACATCAACATGAGAGAGAAACATTGACTGCTTGCCTCCTGAATATGCCCAGACCTGGGCAAGGGATTGAACTTGCAACCGAGGTATGTGCCCTTGACTAGGAATTGAACCCGAGACCCTTTGGTGCGCCAGCTGACAAGCCATACCAGCTAAAGCCATACATCTTTATACATAAGCAATATAGCAATAAAATACACGAAGCAAAAATTCCTAAAGATACTAGAAGAGCTTGATAAAACCAAAAATATACCTAAAGATTCAACATACCTCAAGTAGATATAAACAAAACTACAGAGGACCTGAATAATAAAACCAAGTCTAATATATATATAGTAGCATATACGGCAAGTCATTCAATCTTTGTTTCTTATAAAATGGTGATAAATAATAATACCTAAGCAATATGGCAGCTCGAATATTAGCTGAACAGCCTACTGTTTTTTTGTTGTTGTTTTACTGATTTTTAGAAAGAGGGGAAGGAGGGGGAGGGAAGAATGGAGGGAGAGGGAGAGAGAGTGCCCCAACCAGGGATCAAATCTGCAACCTTTTGGTGCACAGGACAATCAGTGCTCAACCAACAGAGCCACTCCGGCTTAGCCAGCCTGCATTGCTTAATCATGAGTCTCTACTTTTCTTTCCATCAAAAATTAAAAATAAAGAAACAAAAATTAAGGCCCTGGCCAAGTAGCTCAGTTGGTTAGAGCATCATCCCAATACACCCAGGTTGTGGGTTTGATCCCTGGTCAGGACACATGCAAGAAGAAACCAGTGAATGCATAAATCAGGGGAACAACAAATAGATGTTTCTCTCTCTCTCCCTTCCTTTCTCGCTCTAAAATTAATTTAAAAAAATAAAACAAAATAAAACTTAAGTTGAATAATGGTCAAAACAGTGAGGAATTTTTTAAGTGTACTCTTAATTCTCTGTAATCTAAGCAGCTCTCCAACCAGTGTTATGAATGTAATTATTCATCTCTTCTATGATATAGTAAAAGGGATTTTAAAAGGAAAAGAAATACTTAAAAACAAAGTTTTAGGGATTTCTAGGCATTACTAAGATTAAATAACTTTTCTCCAGAAGGTGCAATAAATTCTACAGTGGGTGCTTTTTCGAAACAGTAAGAAATATCCTTGAAAAATCACTTATATAGTAGGACTTGGGTCTTTGGAAGCTCAAAAGTCAGTATTTTAGGCTATTTTTTGCATTTAGGTGATAGGCATGCTGCTGAGTCATCATGGAAGATATAAGCTAATGCAGTTGGGTGGATGGGGGCAGGAAAGACAATGAAAAAAAGAGATTTATTGCCCCCACCTCAATACAATACAATTCCAATACTATGGTAGGATTCCACTGTGTCCGGTTGATTTAGTCCTTAACTAAAACATTGTAATTTGAAGTGTTTAGTAGCTGAAGATCTGCAGTTTTTGCTTCAATTTTAATAACCGCTCTTGAGGAAAAATATACAAAAATATAATAAGAACTGTTAGGTGTAAGTACAGTATTGGAAAACTCAGTGGTTTGCAAATTTTATGAAATGTAAATCTCAAAAGTTGCCATAGCCTTAGTTTTATATCCAAAGGGGTACAATCTGAAAACAGTGCATACATTTACATGCATCTTACTATACAGATCAGTATATGTGACACTTGCTCCAGCACTTACTCATCATCCACTGTGTACTCAAAATATTAACTCAGGATTCCATTCTACAAGTTCAGTTGAAAATGGAGTTGAAAACAAAAAACTTGAGCCCAGCCAGGAGTGGCTCAGCGGTTAAGCATCGACCTAGCATCCAAGCGATCAGGGTTCCATTCCCAGTCAGGGCACATGCCCGGGTTGCGGGCTCAATCAATGACTCTCTCATCATGGATGTTTCTATCTCTCTCTTTCCCTTGCCTTTCCTCTCTCTGAAATCAATAAAGATATATTTAAAACAAAAAAACAAAAACAAACTTGTAATGCAACTGGAGCCACAATACCCACACATGAAAGAACACTCATAAAACAACACACAGAAACCTGGAAGTTAATTTAGTGTAACGGAAGAGTCTATTATTTCTTATTATTGCACACCTCCCGTTGAAGATGTTCAATGAATTCTACTACCTTAGGAGATGAGTTTTCAACTAAAAATAAGAAAATTGGTCCTTTTTTTTCTTTAATATTCATTCGTTCATATTCCTTCTCCCTATCTCTCTCCCTCTTTTTCCTCTCTCATTCTCTCTCTGGCGGTGGGATGCCCAGAGGAGGAAGAAACACTGAAAGTGAAATGCTAGGCTGAACTGACCAGGAAAACAGAACTGAGAAAGTGAAAACAGAGATGAGTTAGTGATGAACCCAAGAAGGTGCTTAGCCACTTACCCAGAGATTTACTTAATGAGAATGGATCGCAGGTTTCCACAGGTCGTTTCCACTGCCAGTAAGAAGATAGTCGTGAACCTTGGGTCCCTTTTTTCACTAGTCAACAGTCACCCTCACCTACATGCGGAGTACATATTTGGCACTCAGCAAATCTTGGTTGAATGAAAGCCTACCTCACTCATATTGGTACCCAACCCGAGTTATGGACTCAAAAATTATCTCCAAAAACCCTTAGGACTTAACCCAAAGAACTGAAAAAGTAAAGACGAAAGCTCTGGGATCTTTGTAAAGACTGGGAACAATCAGGGGCCAATGTAGCCTACACCAACCCGACCTCCCAAAGAAAGGTCAAGGGACTGAGCTTCAGCTCCCGAGGAGGTACCCGACAGGCCGCAAATCCACAGCCTCCCGCCCGGGGGCGCTCACAGATCTGGGGGTATCCCCTCCAAAGTTAGTACCTGCCAAGCTGTGACACAGAGCGTGGCTCAGGGCTCTCATTACGGAGGCCGGGGCCTGGGGCCGGCCGGCTGCGCCTCCTGGCTGAGGGTTCCGCGTTCCGGAGCGGCAGTGACAGCACGGGTCGCAGACAGACACCTCACGCCTCCGGAGGCTCGTGGCTCGTCGGCCCCAGGTACTCGCTCTCAGGGCTGAGCGAGTCGTCGCACTCACGTCGACCCGAGCTCTTTACGACTCTCCTCACAGCTCAAGCGATCACTCCCGCCTTAAACCTAGCAGCCGGTCGCTTCCCGGCGCCGCCATCGTTAGTGTTTGTTTTCATCCGCTTCGGTGAACGCGGTGGGGAGGAGAAGAGGAGGGCTACGGGGGAAATACAGCTGTCTAACTTCAGCCACACTTTCGCTACGGATGAACGCCCTATTTTCTCTCTTTCCTCTTCGAAACTCCCAGAAAAGTTGATTTCTTTTTATACGTCTCTACGGCCAATATTTCCAAGTGTCTGAGAAGAAAATAAAAGCGTAAGGAACGCGGCGTCTGAAAGAGCAAGAACGTTTGTGCCGCGTGCGGAATGTGCAG